TAAATCAGAAGGATAAAGAAAATAATAAAATAGTACCATTTATCAGTGTTGGCACATGACCGGATGTGACCTAAATGACTTAGTGACTAAGTCATTAGTCATATGGTCATTTTAGCTTTGAAGAATTTATGTGACTTGGTCATAACGATATATGATCACGTGATTTAATATGATTTAATTTTTACCGTTATAAAATTTCAAAATTTATTTATTATTTAATATATCATAAATTTTTACAACAAATACTATAAAGATTAAAACATATGAATTCATTTTTAAAGTGCTGAATAAATCTGATTTCCCTGTAAATAAGCAGGAAATCCTAAATTAGAAATGAACAAAGATCTTAACGGCCATTTTGCTGTCAGATCGTCTGCAGGATGAATTGTTCTTCCTCCAAAATTAAAGTCATTATCCATTTCACCATCTAAAAGTATTTCATCTTCAGAATGATCAAATGTATTTTCACGTTTAATAGCTTCAATCCATTCTTTAACAAATATATTCCATCCTTGTTCTTGTTCTTCAGTATGAGGTTTGTAAGAGTCATTTAAAGTCAAATTATTACTTTCATTTTCACCATTATCATCGTCACTAACCAACAAATCATCATCAGTTAAGTTATTAAATTCAGGATTATTTATATTATCATCTTCAATAATTGGTGTTGCTATATGTAAACGCTGAACTTTAGTATCTAATTCTTTTGCATTTTTTTTTTGACGATGATAAAGTATATCACTTCGAATCTGACTCATAGCTAATACTTTTTTGCTCTAAAATATTAAATAATATGAATTAAATTTTTGTGTAATAAATAAAATAAATATTGATATAAAACATACCTTTAATTTATTTCGCCTATTCGTGTGAAGAAAACCCATACTTCTCCACAATCTTTCAACGGATGCTGAGTTAATACAGACACCATGTATGTGTATTGCAACTTTTGCTAATTCTGGTCCAATACCAGCTGTAGAATCCCAATAATTTACCAAATTACCTTTAAATTGTGAAAATGTTTCAAGGTCATAAGGATCTTCACCATGTTTATATAAAATTATTTCAGCTACAATTGATGAAGGACGGGAATTAAAAAAAGCTTGATAATAGTATTTTAATTATTTTTCAATATGAGTCCATGTTAAATTATTATTTGTAACTTGAAAATTTTCTAATTTGTATTGGGGGTGAAGAACAATAGAAAGAATAAGGAGCGGCTGCTTCCACTCCTTCCAACGTTTTTCGATTCTTTCAACCATTCGTGAACCAAAATCAGTATCTTGGTGATTTTCAAAAATCTTAATAGTATTTGCAAAACAATGTGTTACTTCAAACAATCGTGCAGTATCCTTCTGCAATTTATTTAAAAAGCCACATAGTGGATAAAGCATATTTTGTAGTAAAAAAAGGGTCGACCAAAATTCTGAATCATTTATAGTATCAGCAATGTCATCAGTAAGTTTTCGGTCGCCATTTTGGCTTGAAGATTTATCTGCAGATGCTGAAGGTATTCCATTTTGATGTGTTACATTAGCCCTATGTGGATTGAATTTTGCTGAAATAAACTTTAATAAAAAAAATTTAAATATTATATTTTTATTGATATAAAATATTTATTAAACTAATAATATTTACCTTTAATGCTGCTTGAGTTTTTAAAATAGAATAAAAACAAAAGTAATAACTGTTCCATCGAGTATCTCCTGGAGATGCTAAACATATGTGTTTATTATAAATTCTCATTTGTTCATCACGAAGATTTCCAGTAAAATACACTGATTTATTAAAATAAGTAACTAATCGGACTGCTTCCTTTAATATTCTTTGATATAATTCTTTCTCTTTTAAAATGTCGCCAAAAACAAGATTCATTTGATGTGCCATGCATGGTAAAAAAATTTTACTTGGATATTTTCTTCTTATTTGCCGTCTAGAAAAAATAAAGTTAAATTATTTTTCCATTAATAAATTAATAAGTATTATAATAATGAATTAAAATTAGGTTTATTAAATTTACCTTGCTGCTGCATATTCGCCTGCTGAATCTGAGACAAATGCTTTTATACAAACATTTTTGTTTTTTGCTTCTTCCATCATTTCTTTTATATGTTGGATAACATTAGTTGTACGAGATCGCTCAGCACTTATTTCATGTGCTCCCCAAACCAAAGGTTGTCCTTTTGATGTAATAAATACTACACCCCATAATTGCTCCATTTTTACATTCGTCCAACCATCAAAGGCTGCCGTAACACCATCTTTATCATTTGCTGCGATTTTTACAATATTATGTTGAAGAGATTTAGCTGCATCTTTTAAGATTCTGCCACCAATTGCTTTACGATTAGGAAGAACAAGTCCAGGAGCAATAAATTCAAATAATGCTTTAGTTTCTTCATTCTCTACAAAAGAGAAAGGAAGACTATTAGATACTGTCATTCTAATGAATAGTTGTTCAAATCTAGGTACATCATTTGTTGATATTTGGCGACGATAATATGATGTTAATGATTTTTGTTGGCTGCCAATTGAGTTAAAACTTGATACTGTTGATGTAGAAAGTCTCCTTCGTTTTGCTAAATTTTGAATAGATTCATCATCATCATCAACTTCTATAATATCATTAACTTTGTCTTCAGGTACTGGCAATTTAAGGATTTCCTTTACTTCTTCTTCAGAAAAGGTTTTCTTAAAATTTTCACATTTAGCCAAGTGTGCACGACATAATCTTGCTTTATTTGATGTATAACATTCTGGTCTTAATTTAGCTTCTTCTAACCCCCCATCACAATTATTAATACAACTATTGCATACTGCAAACGCATTTCCTTTATTTATTGTATTTTTAACAAGTGTAAAGTACTGACGAAAATTATGTGGTTCCGGAGGCATTATTTATTTGGGTTGACGTTGAGTAAAAATTTTTTCGGTTAGTTGATTTACAAAAAAAGATTATCAATTAGAATTTTATTGGTTAATCAAACAAGGGGTCACGTCAATTGTGACATGACTAAGGTGACTTATGGTCATGATGGTCACGTCACTTGGTTATTTCTGATATGACCGTAATGATCAATGACCATAGGTCACATGCGTAGTGACCTATGTCATTTAAAAAAAAACAAAATGACCTGGTCATTTTCCATCACTGCCATTTATTGGTCGCACTATGGATTTTGACAAGATTTTACAAAAGAAACATCTACTTATTAGTAAAAGAGCCAAGTAGAAGTTAGATGATATTTTTAATTTTGAAAAAATTCAGCCTTCTACATATTTGACATTATTACGTAATTTTTTTCAATTTTTAATCTTTTTTTAATTTAATTATTTAATTATTTAATTAATTTGTAGATGAAACGGAATAAAATCAATAAATTGATTACAATTGGTTAGAAAAATATCCAATGAAATAATTTGTATTTACTGTAAATAGGCAGATTTAATGTTGATCAACTACATACTAGTAATATTTTTTTTAAGTAAAATTGTGAATTATTTGTAAAGAATTAACAAAATTTACTTTTTAAATCATTAAATTTAAATAAAATTAAATAAAAATCAATTGGATATGTCCAAAAAAATTATTGGACATTGTGGACATATATCCAATTGGATATTCAATTGGATATTCAAATGCTCAATTGGACAAATGGTCCAATACTGATTACACATTACTTCATACCTTTATACATCTCAAAAATTTTACTTAGAAAAAGAATAAAAGGAAAAAGGAAGAAAGAAGAAAGAAAATGTGTATAGTTTATTTGATCAAAGCATAAACAAATAAATCAGTATGTGACATAAGAGGAGGAACAGGATAAGTAGCGTATACCTTCTGAAACACGTTAAGATTTCCCATTATATGATGACACATTCACCTCCACATGACTTGTAATTTTAGGTAAAATTAATTGTTCGAAATTCTAATATTTTCGTAAAAATAAAATAAAATAAGAAAAAATGTATTTGTAACAGCCTGTTACATACACTGGTAAAAAAATGATTTATCCTACACATATCTTACACATATTGGGTACTCAAAATGTAGAAAATCATACACAAATAATACACATATCATACACATATCGGGTACTAATATATATATCATACATATATCAGGTACCTGATAGGTATACTATATATATAAGTACCCGATATGTGTATGATATGTGTATTATTTGTGTATGATTTTCTACATTTTGAGTACCCGATATATGTAAGATATGTGTAGGATATGTGTAGGATAGACCATTTTTTTACCAGTGATATCTTATTTGTAACATCCTTTTTTTATTTTTTTTGAATAATAAATTTAATATGTGTTTCACAAATAAAACTTTTATATGCAAAATTTAATTTGGAAAACTTTTACTTAATGTACTTAAGACAGTTTCATAGACAAAATTTTAAGTTATAAGCAGTTTCTTGAAATTTTTTAAAAAATTCTTTTGTCTTAGTTACACGACTGATCTTTTGTTTTTGTTTACATTACGCCTGATCTTAAATTTTAATTGGATAAAATTGGGGTTGTTACAAATAAGACGCGTAACAGGCTGTTACAATTAGATTTATCCATAAAATAAATAATATTTTCATAAAAAAAAATTTTTTTTGTACAATAAATCTTAATATTTTTATTCATATTGGAAATTTTAAATTTTTCTTCATCAGCAAGTTTGAAAAGTGTTGATTCACATCAGTATACACATTGATCAATACCAGCTAGTTGTTCAATGCGTTTTACAATATTAATTAACACCTGTATACTGGATATACTGGAGTATATCAACACTTAATGTTAATATACGCGTCATTCAACTCTAATGTGTAGTTCAACACATTATGCATTGTTGTTCAACGCACTGTATATTAACACAACTATACATATAATATATTAATTAAATTATATTTATTTTGCTTACCTTAGGAACTGAACTGATTACCTTAATTACACTATTAATACGTCAAATCTCACAACCTAACCATTGTACCATTTAATTTAAGTATATATATACATATATTATATCTTCTAGTCGTTCATCATTATTACTCCCTTTTTCTTCTTTCCTTTCGTCTTTCCTTTTCCCTTCCCCTTCTCCTTCGTAGTTCACATCCTTTAGTACCTCATCATAATCTTTACTTTCTTCTTTGTAGCTTACCTCTTCTTGTACTTCATCATTATTAGTACTCCCACTCTCTTCCTCTCCCTCTTCGTAGCTCACCTCCTCAAGTCGTTCGTCGTCATCCACTTCCTTCAGTTTTGTTCATATTCTACTTCTTTAGCAATTTCTCTAAGAACTTTATCAATTATATTATCGTAAGTTTTCACATGATTTTATAGAGAAGCACAATGACTGAAGACTCTTTCACAATATGGACACGAGTATATATATAGCCATTTTTTGAAGTTGATTTATGGTGAATAAGTTTTTTATTTGACGCTAGCAAAGTAGATTAATTTATATAAAAACATTAAGATTTTTTACATGTTGATTTATTATATTAACTTGTTTAACAATAAATTGACTATGTACCTTAATAATATTAACAATACTTAACAATACAGTATTGCTTGACGTATTGCATAGTTTATACAATGTTAACAGTTAGTGTTACTGATTACGATCAATTAAAAAATATATACATTAAATTAATCAATCATTGTGTTGTTTAAATATTTAGGTGAAGATATCAAATGATACCATCAGTTAACTGCGTAATGATACTGATGAAAATATTCACATTTAAGGTGTCAACAAACACAACAAACATCATAGAAATTAACGCATAATTATTATTATTAGTACTTTTATGATGAATAAAATAAAAGATTAATTAATACAGTAAACTGGAACGTCCAAAAGCAAAATTGAGCGTTGGATGAAGGTAATTATATTTTGTTGGAAATTTCACTTGTTAGAATTTACATCCTTGATATTTATAATTTCCCATTAAAATTTTCTCTTTTCTTCAAATTTAATCTCTTTCTTCTCTTTATTGCTCACCTTTACTAGTTGTTCTGTTCATCGTTAAACACTTTTATTTCTAGCTGTCCATAGTTACTCATTACGTTTACTTTATCAGCAAAAATTCAATTTGAAACATCACATGATTTCGTAAAAATGAAAAACAATTAATATTTTTTGCAATGTGATAAATAACGACTAATACTTTTTTTGCAATGTGGGCATTGAAATTCGAAGTGAAGAAATTATACATGCTTCCCAAATTATTTTAGGATGCTATAATTATAATTTGGGATGCCATAATTCATTCGGTTTATATATAATTTACTATGTAAAGTGCCAAAATAATTTAGGATGCCATAATTGAATTTGGGATTTTACTTATAATTATGGCCGTCCAAAATAATTTGGGTGGCATGTATAGAAGAAATGAATCAGATTTGTCATTGCAACACGTGACATAACTAATACTTTTTTGCGATGTGGATATTAAAATTTGAATGAATCGTTGTAACACGTGACATTATACCGCAATTTAGTCTTAAAGTAATATCTAGTTAAGTAATTACATTAATTATGTTTGTTACAAGTTACACTAAATACTAAGTAAGTATACTAATCATTAGTATACTTGAGTATACTTACGTATAGGTAAATCAAGTAGATCATCACACATAAGAGTTAAAAAATGATTGCTTTTTTTTCTCACATTCTAATATTTTTTTTTTTCTCATTCTCACATTCTAATAATCAATTAATTCTCTCTTGTCAGTCATCTTTTTATCAATGGATAATGATGACAACAAAAATAATAATAATAAAATCAGCGGCAAACGCTTTTTAGATTTTAATAATTTAAAACATTTAAAACCTACTACTAGATCTAGTACTAGGTCTACTAGATCTACTAGATCGTCAACGAATATGAATATAGAAGTAATTATTTTAACTTTAAATTATTATATATATTTGGTTGTAAATTATTATGATTGTATAAATATACTTATATAATTAATATCTTTTAAATCAACGAACAAAATAATTTGAAAGGTTTTATTTTAGTTTTTTTTTGAACTTGCGTGAACGAATATCTAAAAATACATTATAATTAACAGATACTGAAGCCAATCATCAAACAATTTTAGACGCTTCACAAATAGAGACTCCAAAAAAGACGAAAATTGCAAGGTTAGATTTATTTCGTGATAGAGATATTGATGAGATTATTATCGGTACTAATAAAACTACCAAAAGATCTTCTCAAGTAATATCAGTTATCAATTTTATTATTGTTTATATTATTCATTATTAGTTTATTAAATACATTTTATTGTTTTCATCAGGCAATAAATGAATCATCAACAATATCCTTTTATATTCCTTCGGTGGTAATTTCTCCTCCTTCTTCTATTAAAACAATGATATCTGATAAAGCAACATCTGGTGGTAAAGCAGCATCTGGTAAAGCAGCGTCTGGTAAAGCATCTGGTAAAGCAGCATCTGGTAAAATAGCATCTGGTAAAGCATCTGGTAAAGCAGCATCCGGTTCTAGTAAATTACCATCATCCAGCGTTAAGGCAGTGATTAGTAAAGAATCACCATCAGATAATAATGTGACAACATCATCATCTAAAGTAACAGATCAAGATTAGATACGATATATATACTGTTTGTTCATTGTTGTTTTGTTAATAAATTATCAAATTGGTTCTTATTATTCTTATTAATGATAATTTATAGCAGTTAGTTCTGGTGAATTTGCCAAATTAATACAAATTAATCAAAAAACAGCATCAAAACTCAACACGATTATTAATAATCAAGAAAGGTTTAAAGCTATGTTAAACGAACAAAAATACCAGATTTCAAATATAATGTCAGTATTAGATTCTTATCGCAACGTTGAAACTGAAGTCGAGGTTAAAAAAAAGGGTAAAACGAAAAAGAAAGACAAAAACTCAGATGAATTTTATGACGTAAATATATAATTTAAAGTTATGTATTTCTTTATATTATTTACTAAATATAACAATTTGTATGTATTAAGGATGCGATTAAAGATCTTTTTTATGAATTATTTCATGAACATCGACGAGTAACCGACTGACAAATGAAAAATCGCCTTAAAGAAAAATTAGAAAATGATGAAACATCCTCCAAAATACTCATGAAGTTGTCCAGAAAAGGAGTTTCGTTCGATTATTTGTGGGATGATAGAATGCATTCACAAGTAAGTAGTATTTGTATTATATATTATTCATTAATTGCCAAATTTATAACAACTTGTTTATTTTATTAAATATAGTTACTTGCTGCAAATCGCGTTAAAAAAGGTTACTACATTAGAAAATTGAAAGAAAGTTTGTGGAGTACTTTCGGTATTAATAGAATAACGCCATTCAAAGATAATTTCAGCAAACAACAGATGCGAACATGGAAAGCAAGTAAAAACATTCAACAGGTTTATGAAGATTTATACAAACCGAGCTACTTAGATGATCCATCGTTTGATACTTATATTTCGTTAATAATTAAATCAGTTTTTGCATCTGATAAAGAGCGTACAAATGAAAACGCCATTTGGGTTCAATCGGTATTAGAAGTTATATTTGACAAGGAACACCTTTTGTCAAAAATCGATGCAGACATTGTCGATTTATGGACTGGAAATATAATAGATACAGACGTGGTAAGTACTCAACTGAATTGTATGTAATGTTTTAAATTAAATTGCTAGTAATATTATATTTCTTTATTTAGGATTCTCAAGAATGTGAATGTGAGTCTTCACCCAAAACACCTATAACACTTATTGACGATGATGATGATGAAATTATTGGAGTTGATCATCGTGTTGATGATGTTTATAATGAGCATACGATGGACGATAATCAAGCAGCTGATTTAGAAGTTGCTGATTTAGAAGAAGAGCAATAAAAATTCACATGACTTTTATAATTTAATATTATTCGTTGTTGTCATTTTTTGTCTTTTAATTTATATGTATTATTCTAGTATGCATTATGTATCAATTGCAATTTAGCAATATCATTAATAATATTAATATAATTATCGTGTTTCAGTTCGTAGAAAGATCATTCAAGTGATTCAGTTGTACAAATCACATTTCCACCTTGTTAGGTTGTGTCACTAGAAGTGCTATGTCAACGGAAATTTAGTACGTTAATCGCTTAAAAATCTGCGGTAATCCAATTATAATAAAAGGAATTTACATTAGATAATGTATTTAAATTGATACGTATTTTATCATAAATAAATTTACATATTTTATATAATATATATATTAATAATATACAATAAAATCATTGCTTTACACATTTTTAATATCAATATACGTGTTTTTATACATTGTATACACATTTTTAAACTATCGTTGTTTTACTGTATGTTGTTTTACATTTAAATTGGTGTTATTTTATGCGTTTTTCAACATTTTTAGGTGGCGTTGATTGATAAAGGGTTCGTTTCCCTACGTTTTTTGGTGTTAAGCAACACATGGCGTTTTTCAACACTTTATACGCCTGTTTAAAACTTGCTGATGTTATATGAAAATTTTGTAAATTTACATGCCAATTTTTTTTTCTTTTCAAATAAATCTTTAATAGTATTAATTTAATAAAAGTTATAAAGTTTTATTATAAGCAAAAACATAAAAATCTTAAGAAAGCTATTAAAAAAATAAATTGAAAACCATTCCTGTTTCAATATTTTTTCACCTTTTACACTATACAGAAGTTTGATATATAGTTTTTTTATTTTTATATTCTTAAATTTTATGATTACAAATTTCTGTTAAAATAATCCAAATTAATAAATAAACTACCTTTGCATAAGTAAATAACTATGGCTGAAACACCATTTACAATTAAAACGTATTAAAAATCTAAATATGATAGTTAGTTTATTGTTAGTTAAAAAATAGTATTATAAGAACTATCTTTAAAGATTTAAACTATTGTTCTTTTTTTGTAAACTGTAATTTCAGTAAACATTTTTTAAATTTTTTTTAATACTCTTAATCCATTTATAATTTCCTTTATTTTGTTGATCTATTAGACCATTAATATAAAATTACATTAAACTTAATTTAATTAATTACAAATCAATTACCTTTAAAAATATCAAGTACTTTTTCTGTTATACTAATAAGCCTTTTATATATCTCTTTACAAACTTGTAAATTCTCATCTTCAGCAACTTCAAAAATTAATGCTGTTTGTAAATTATAAGAATTAGATCATTCAAAATCAATAATTTGAGAGGATATTGTATTAATAAAGGGATATTGATGATGATGATAAACTATATCAAAAAATAAAGTATCCACTATTCCTTTTTGTTATATAAGATATTTACAAATTAAAAAATGGCTAGTAAGAAAAAATGGATATTTACAGAACTAATTATTGATGTTAATTAAATATAAGTCATTATTAAAAACTCGTAATGAAAGCTCCTTCCATTTCCTTTTGAATACCTTTTACCAATCAGCTTTCTCTTGATTTACAATAAAAATTTGATTAAATTTTCTTTCATTATGTAAAATCATTTGCTTCGTTCATAATAATAAAGACAATTAAATTCAGGCATGAATAAAAGAATTTCATATGTGCCGATTTTTGGAATTAGTCTAAATTAAGATTTTTATAAAAATTTAATATTTTAGTAAGATTAACATTACACAAATCTAAATTAAATATGTATTACATACAGTTAAGG